ACATTTTAAGTGTTCCATAGTACTCATAATAATAAATAATAATTAATGTTAGAAAATTAACATAAATAATAATTAAATAAATGATTGCTTAAACCTATAGAATTAGAGAAATAGGTTTTTGAATTTTTAGGATTAGGATTTTAGGATTTTAGGATATTTAAAAAAAAAATAAAAAATCCCACACATGCAGTATAACAATTGTTTGTGTGCTGTTTACCAAAGCTATTTCAAAATGTTCACTTGACCCTACAACAACCACTCTGTGTTTTCAGTATGTGCTATTGCTATTGTTTACACTATATAGATTCATTTAATTGATCATCATAAGATATTTAAAAAATAGCTTAAAAATGACCACATTTACAAACTGTTAAACTTTATTTAAAACATACAGTGTAAACCTAAAACAAAAAAAAACACACACACAAATAAATTAAGCTATTATTACGTCTGCGTCCAACATTCTCCAGTGTATCGTTTCTCAGTCCAGTGCAACACAGTTCCGTTGTGTGTAGCTTATTACAGTAACCTCAGGGCAGCTGGTGCACTGTCAGTCCTGCGCAGCTCATCTCGAGGTGCAGGTAACTGCGTCTGTGCAAAGAGCCAGTCCACCGGGTCTCTGTGGCTGCTGAAACTGTGTGTAAGCTCATCTAGTCCCAGCGTGGTTACACGTGACCGTGGGGTCCTGTAGGAGCAGTGAAGTGAGCTGCTACTTCCCAAGTGTTTGTCCAGAGGCTTGGAAAAGAGACGAGGCCTCAGAGTCCGTGCAACCCGCACAGGGCCGTATGCAGGCTGGGCCAGCTTTTTAATGGAGTCGACATATTCCTCCATAGACTGCGAGGAGCTTCCCGTCTGTGAGGCATCCTCGTACGTCTCTGTTATTGTGGGCAAAGGAGCCACGGATAACAGCAGTCTTCTCGGCTTCATGCTGGAGAGACATCAAAAAGTTTGAATGAGCTACTTCTGGATATTCTGGACCATTTTCAGCTTTAAATGTAATGAAAAACAAGCAAGACGCAGTGCGCGCACTGCAGAGGCTTTGTGGAGCTCTTTTCATGTAGCATGAAATTTCTGGTACATCAGAGACTTTCAAATGAAAGCAAGTACTCACCTGTAGTAAATATATGCTTGAGTCTTGTGAGATATGATGTAGTCCTGATACTGCTCTATGTCAGGGAGCTGCTGCTTGCTCTTAGTCTGTGAGTTGTGCTCTACAGGCACAGCCTTTTATACCATTGCTGGGTGTAAGCCAAGGCTCATGGCACTAAATATAGCCATGCACTGACCTCGCTCTCTCTGGAGGAAGTGTGTGTGCTGGGCTGAGAGGGTGGAGGAAGCTGTGGCGTGGCAGATGACCGTGCTTCACTGCTGCAGCTGCCCTGATTGTTTATATTTCAGACACAATGAGGCCCTGGGAGCACTCGGCCCTCCACCTAGCTCACACAGGAGAACACACACACACACACACACTCGCCCTCACTCAGTCTGCTGCCAGCAGTACATCAACCACTTCACCCTCTTGTGCTCTTACAGGGCCTCAGGGATCCATGTGGGGATGGTTTTGGAAAGCTTCAGCTTCTCAGTCATCTGTTTTATTGTTGGTGTGGTGAATGATTATTTCAGGACTGACAAATGTTTTAGGGAAAAGCAATACAGCATTTTTTTTTTCTTTGTTTTTTCAAATAATTAAACATGAGTATAATTTTACGATACATTTCCACTCAAGTCAAAGTGCAGGTATTGTAAATTATAAGTAAATGTTAAATGTCCACAGTTATACATATTCAGGACTTTATAAATAATAGTATGAAAAGTTGAAGGTTGAAGTTAAGATTAGGAACAGGTTTAGAGTTGATAGCTTTTGATAAAACTTTATTCATGAAATCAAAGATTAACCACATCACCTTTTTTTTTTTTTTTTTTTTTTTTATTATTAGACTGACTTTAATGCAGGTGTTCCGCAACTAGAGGTCTTTATTTACAAATAGGGTTGTGAGAGGAACTCACAATACACATAAATATTCTTAATATTACTCTATGCAGAAGGATCTTGTGTGTTACTATTGTGAAATGTTAAGAGTGTATGTGCTAGTTGTATGTGCTGCTAGCTCCTTGACCACTACGAGTGACTGTGACTGAGTGGAACAACAGAAAATGAAAATACGTGTAAAATATGGTTTTACAAGCTTGATGACAAATAACAAGATGAAACCAAAACACAGTGAAAAGATGGAACCCAGGTATGTCTTTGCGTGCCATGAGAATGATTGATCCTTTGCAAGGTTTGTATTTATGTTACGTATTACTGGTATGATAATTCCTAAATTATAATATGATAATGGTATGATAATTCCTAAATTATAATATGATAATGGTATGATAATTCCTGAATTATAAATCTGGAATAAAAATGCAGGGTGGTTTGGGGTCGCAGAAAATTCATAATGTCCATTAGGGGTTGTTTGCTCAAAGTGTGGGAACACCTGATTTATAGTATGAAAAGCAATTGAGACTAATAGGGAGTTCCTGCGCAAAGATGATGGTTTTAAATGCACAGAAACACAACTGGTTAGATAAGTAACTGGGCAAAAAAAAAAAGTAAGTGGAGGATCTAAACAAAAGTTAATCTAAAGACTTGCCTTTCTTTTTATGGAAATGTAATTAATTAAGTGTAATTAAACATTCTTATAAAATACAAATCCCATTAAATGCTACGTTATTGTAGGGTAATGAATTATAATGATTAATTACAGTACAAACCCAATTTCCGGAAAATGTTGGGATATTTTCTTAAAATGCAATAAAAACAAAAATCTACAATTTGTAAATTCTCTGTGAACCTTTGTTTAACTGACAAAAGTACAAAGAAATGACTTTTAATGTTTTGGCTGACCAGCTTGATTGCATTTTGCAAATATACGCAAATTCTGACACCTGCAACACACTCCAAAAAAAAAAAAAAAAAAAAGTTGGGATGGGGCAAAATAAGAGCCAAAAGGTTATATTCAAGTTACAACATTTTGAAACATTCCACAATGAGCAGGTGAAAGGGTAACAGGTGAAGGTATCATGATTGGGTATAAAAGGAGCATCCACCATAGGCCAGAGATGGACCAAAGATGGGTCGTGGCTCACCAATTTGTGCCAAACTTCATGAGAGAATTGTCAGTCAGTTCAAAAAGAACATTTCTTAATGCAAGATTGCAAAGAATTTAGGTCTTTCACCATCTACAGTACATAATCTTGTGAAAGATTCAGAGAATCTGGAGAAATCTCATTCTGTGTAGGGCAAGGCCGGAATCCACTGTTAAATGTACGTGACCTTCGGGCCCTCAGACGACATTGCATGAGAAACTGTCATGCTGCTGTGATAAATATAGGCACATGGGCTCGGGAGTACTTCAGAAAACTGATGTTACTTAACACAGTCCGCCGCTGCATCAAGAAATGCAACCTGAAAGTCTATTATGCAAAGAGAAACCCATACATCAATTCTATGCAGAAACGCCGCCGTCATCTCAGATGGACCGAAAGACAGTGGAAATGTGTGCTGTGGTCAGATGAGTCTACATTTCAGCTTGTTCTCAGGAAAAACCGACGTTGAATTCTCCGTGTCAAAGATGATGAAGAGGACATATGATGAACCAGACAGATTCAGATTCAGAAATTCAGATTTCTGAATTTGTTTATATTCACAAAATACATTTAAGATGGCCAGTGAAAACAACGGAAATCTTTTTTTTTTTTTTGTGGTACTTTTGTCAGTTAAATAAAGGTTCAGTAGAATTAACAAATCATAGATTCTTGTTTTTATAGCATTTTAGAAGAATATGATAACTTTTCCTGAAATGGGGTTTGTAAATTGTAATACTTTCTACTTTAATGTACTTTACTGTAATGTCACAATTTCTACTTCTGCAAAGTCTGTGCTTTTTGAGTAAAGTGAGTAAAGATGTAATTAATGGCTGTAACTGTTGTTAGCTGTTTAGGTGTAAGAAGGCTATAAGCTTGAACTCAATGTCGCTGTAGTTACTAAGTGAGTCCAGGCCCAGAATCCAGAAAGCTGCTTTCTAATATTGTCCTTTGCGAGACATCCTGCACAAAGAAGATTAAGTTAAGTGAACAAAGTGCTGTTTATTTAGTGAATTACTTCTGAATCGTTACGGTGATTGGTGTACTAGACATTAAACCATATTAGTTTGTCATTAATCAACAGTGAAACTATTAAGTAATGTTTAGTTTAAAATAGATTACAGCCATTTGTTTTCCGGGTGAGTGTTGCCAGCCAGGAATTAGGACACTGGCGCGTTAAAGGCAGCTATATTTGGCATTCAATTTTAATCTGCTGCTTTTTTGGCCATGTCAAGTGCAGAGCTCACATGGGGATTGGAGGAGGATTATCCAGCTAGTTCCTGAAAGGATTAGACATGTGTTCACATGACACGTTTTGCTCTTAGGCCCTCTGCTATACTGCACTTTGTGATTTGTACGTGGCCTGATATGAACCTCTGAAACTACTGAAGTGGACATTCAGGGTTGGAGAGCTGGAGATAAGATCCTACGTTGTCAGGGTATTATGAGAGAAAATGTTTGTCACTGCGGAATCTTAGACAGGGATGCAAAAAACAAACTGACTTTGTTTATCTTATGTGTCCAGGATAGTCAAGGCCTGGTATGTGTGTGTGTGTATGTGTGTATATATATATATATATGTATATATGTATATGTGTGTGTGTGTGTGTGTGTATACATATATACACACAGTACTGTGCAAAAGTGACTTGTGACTTGTGGCCAAGTGTGGTGACCCATACTCGGAATTTGTGCTCTGCATTTAATCCTTCCAAGTGCACACACACACCCGGAGCAGTGGGCAGCCTTTTAGCTGCAGCGCCCAGGGAGCAGTTGGGGGTTCGGTGCCTTGCTCAAGGGTCTCACCTCAGTCGTGGTATTGAGGGTGGAAGAGAGCGCTGGTCATTCACTCCCCCCACCTACAATCCCTGCCGGCCTGAGACTCGAACCCACGACCTTCAGGTTGTAAGTCCGACTCTCTAACCATTAGGCCACATGCAAAGAAATGCTATAAAGCAAAGATGCCTTCAAAAATAATGAAATTAAATGTTTCTACATTTAAAATAAATACTATAAAGAGCAGTAAACAGTAATAAATGAAACAAAGTCAATATTTGGTGTGACGATCCTTCACTTTAGAAAAAACAGTATCTCAGGTACAGTGTGTGCAGTTTTGTAAGGAAATGAGCTGTAAGTGTTACTGAGCATCTTGCAGAAGCAGACACGGTTCTTCTGGAGACTTTGACTGTCACACTTGCTTCTTATTTTTGCAGCAAAACCCAGCAGCCTTCATTCTGTTTTTTGGTCTGAAAAGTGTCTCTTATGTAATATGCTGCTTTCTTTACTGACATACAAACATTTTTCTGTAACATTTAATTTTGTGCTGGAAAACTAATGTCTGGTAATCTAAAATTCTTTTGTACTGAATCAGTAATGTAGAAGTCATAAAAGACAAATCTATAACAAAGTTCGTACTAAACAAATAGGGTGCCGAAGACTTCTGCACAGTGGTGTGTGTGTGTGTGTGTGTGTGTGTGTGTGTGTGTTTTTAAGTTTTTAAATAAATGAACAGTGATTTAGGTTGAAAACATTTTAATTATTGATGATACATTGTAATATATTAATCTAGGCTGGAGTTAAGAATACCGTCCATGTGCATTTCATGTTTTACAGTTACAAAAGAATGTGGACGTGACTTAACACAGCACTGTGTCATGATTAAGTGTCACACTCCAAAACATGACCTAAGGTAGATTGTCTGAAGCGGATACCTCCCAATGTGACTTTCCACTGCTCAGAAGTCTCAGAACAGGACTGTTGGGCCCCTGACTGCCTTCTAGCACGTAGACTTGAAACAGAGCTGGGCTGGATCCAGCAGGATTTCCTCTGTCCAATAGAAGAATTAATGATTATTATTATTTCTTATGTCACTGCAGGAAGGGGGTGAGTTGATCATGGAGGGTTTACTCAACATCTCCTGGGGCCTGAGGAGGCCAATCAGATTGCAGATGCAGGATGACCATGAGCGCTTCCACTTTGCCAGTGCAGGATTATGGAGGCCAGAGAGCCCAGGGAGAGACCATAGGTGGGTGAGACTGAGCTACACCCACTATTAGCTTTCGCCTTCATGAAAGTAAATCTCAACCTTTCATTCCTTTCATCAGCTCAGTGCATTTGTCATCCAAATACACAGGAGAGATTTTGCTGGAGGTGGTCACATTTTGGTCACGTTATATAAAGGTCACATAAGAATTTGAATTACAAGACTGAGCTAGAGAAGTAAAGTAATATACAGGGACTGGCACATAATTTTCCAGTACACAGAATGTCAAATAGTTATAGTTTTTGTTCAGAGGTCAGCCTGTCAGTCCGTAGCCTGTTGGTGCAGATTGATGTGTGCCACTGAAACGCATAGTTCTGTTAAAAAATATAGAATGAATGGAAAAAAATATAGAATATATTACTGATGTTTGCTGAGCATACACAGGTTGTGTGTGATCATACTCCTCTGTGACACTCCCTCCTCTGTCTCACGTGTAACACCCTCCTTACTCAAGGAAATATTAAGCTTCCATAAGCACAGGCCTAACAGTCCGGTGACTTTGTCATGTGGTTGCTGGAAGTGCTGCATCAAGACGTATTGTATTGCGTTAATTTACTTTATCAAGGAATGTAACCGAATATAAATACATTATGCGATACGAATAGGAGAATTCATATCTATATACATCATCTTTAGTAACTTAGGCTACTTATTTGTTTATATTTTGAGAATAGAACCAACTAAATTTGTTAGAAGTTGTCATAGGCAGGTACACACACTGTTTCTCTTTTTTTTTTTTTTTTAATCTCTAGCTGACATCAATTATGAACAACGAGTGACCTAACATTAATTAAGCAGAGCTGTCTTGTCGAACTAAAGTGAACTAAATCTTCTGTACTATATATTCTCTTTGCTGACAGGAATGAAAACCAAAAGAGTCCCATTCAGTTGTCATTTGAGTCCAACAACAATGAAGTTACTGTACCAGCAAAAACCAGTAAGCTCAGAAATAGTCTCTAGCTTGTGTTTTCTCTGTGCTTCACAGCTACTGTGAAACTTTCAGTTTCATCATGTGTTGGTAATAATCCCACTTAACTACAAACTAAACATGTGCCATGTGTACTTTCTCCAACAAAGGCAATAATGCCTGTTTGTGTACGTGACTCATAGGCAGTGATAGTGTATTGTTTATATTTCTGTATTTATTTTTAGCCTTATTGTTTTTCTAGATCATTTATCCATGACGGAGCATTTCCACCATGTACGCGTGCTAGCCGCTGTTCCTCCAGGCGTTCATGCTACTAATTTAGTTTTGTGTTATTCTGGAATATTCACAAGTGTGTTTAATTTGTGATGGTGAATTTGTACTCAATACCATGTTTCAAAGCGTGAAAGTGCCATATAATAAGCTCAACAGGTTTGTCCTTTCGTCTGTAGGTGTTGATGGTCTTAGCTCAGAAGAGGAAACTCCTCAACTTCCAAGAACGAGAAGTGATGCCAGCTTCATGAACGTCCAAAGAAGGTCCAAACAACGTTCCTCAGGAGACTTACAAAGGGTTAAAAGGCATCGCTTCTCCATAAATGGGCACTTTTACAACCACAAGGTAACATGTTACCTTAAACATTTTTAAATTTCACATCCCATATTGGTAATCTATTTAAATGTTACTTCTAACGGAGAAGAAACCGCATAATGGTTGTCTAAAGGATCATCAGCAAGGATGAGCAAAGCACAATAGTGTTTGGAGGGAACTGTCACGCCTTGTGGCTGGCAAAGGGCCCTTGAGCTCTCACTAATGACTGTAGCAGCATGTGTAAAGGGAAGTGCTGGTGATGTGAGTGTCCTACAGGTCGGAGAGCAGTAATGGATGGATGCAGGTGTTGAGAGAGCGTGCTTTCCTGTGCAGGCGTTCCCCTGGCAGCAGCACACTCTTCACAAAGGCCTGTCACCTGCTTTTCTCATCAGCAGTCCTCAGGGTTAGGGATCAGCCTGGTCAGAGAGGTCTTTCTGCAGATGTGGAGAAACTGGAAAGGAAGCTGCGTATTTAAACGATTTGTCTTAGGGGTGGATGGTGTTGGTGGATAGGTATGTTGCCCTCATAAAAGAGTGTAAAAGTAAACTAATGAACAGGAAGTGAAAGAGAATTACACATGAATAACTGTGTACGTTGACATTCTTATGAGCTACATGAAGAGACGTGAACTAAAAACAGTAAGGCAACATACTGTATGTCCCTGTTCTTTCCTATACTGATGAACAGTTTGTTTTGGATTGCAAAATAGAGAAGAGCCATAACTTTATCCTCTGTGTAGGATAATGACTGAGATCTCATGGACAGGATTAGGTAAACATTTAGGAGTGAATGCAACACTGCTGCTTTACTATGTGTGTCACTGAATGCTTTTTATTAAATAGTGATTGAATAATTAAAAAAAATCATTATTCATTATATGTCCTTTATGTGGCAATAGCTACAGTAATTTCCTGTTTGCATTTGCAGACATCGATCTTCACCCCAGCTTATGGGTCAGTAACTAATGTTCGCGTGAGCAGTTCAATGACAACACAACAAGTGCTCAGTCTGCTACTGAATAAATTTCGGGTATGTAATTCTGTAATATTTTCACAGGACTTTGAGAATATAACATGAATTACCCTTCTTTTATGAGTAACCCTTAATAATTCTTCATCTCTTCAACCCTTCATCAGTCCTGAAGCTGTACACTTTATCATACTGTGTTTCTACAGGTGGAAAATAAAGCAGATGAATTTGCACTTTATGTCGTCCATGAATCAGGAGGTAACTTTTTTTGCTTCTTTGCTTTTTCTTTGCCTCTTTCACATCTCATTACTGCCATCCTGGTGTGTATTTATGTATAATACAGTATTTGTAATATTATTTGCAATTCAGAAAGGACGAAGATTAAAGACACTGAATATCCCCTGGTGTCACGTGTGCTACATGGGCCATGTGAAAAAATTGCCAAACTTTTTATTATGGAAAAGGATCTGGGTGAAGAGGTTACTTGTGATGTGAGTCGTTCTGCCAGTATCATTAAACACGTGCATACAGTCTAATGGTCACAATTATACATTTGTGTGTGGCGGTCGTGGAAATCCCATCTGATTTTGCTGTAGCTGAATTCTGGAAAACCAAATCATCCAAAATGACAAAAGAGTATGTGATTTTTCTGCCAGTCATGTACTTTGATGTCCCTACATAAATATACACGCACAGTCCACTTTATTAGAAACACCTGTACACCTGCACATTCATGCCGTTATCTACTGAGCCAATCATGTTCAGCAGTGCAGTGCACAAAATCATGCAGATACAGGCAAAGAGCTTCGGTTAATGTTCTCATCAAACATTAGAATGGGGGAAATAATGTCATCTCTGTGACTTTGATTGTGGCATGGTTGTTGGTGCTAGATGGGCTGGTTTGAGTATTTCATAAATTGCTGATCTCCTGGGAATTTCACACACAACAGTTTCTAGAGTTTACTCAGAATGGTGTGACAAACAAAAAAACATCCTGTGAGTGGGGGGTCTACAGGCTGAAACACTTTGTTGATGAGAGAGATCAGAGGAGAATGAACAGACTGGTCTGAGCTGACAGGAGGTCTATAGTAACTCCAATATGCATTCTTTACAACCGTGGTGAGCAGAAAAGCATCTCAGAACACACAATACATCAAAGCTTGAGATGGATGGGCTACAACAGTAGAAGACCACATCAGGTTCCACTCCTGTCAGCCAAGAACAGGAATCTGAAGCTATCATGGGCAAAGATTCACCCAGACTAGACAGATGAAGACTAGAAAAAGACCAGGTGATTTTTTATTTTTTTTTCTTTCCCTAATTTTCAACTGTCCAGTTTGGGTAAGTCTGTGCCCATGATGGCCTCAGATTTCTGTTCTTGGCTGACAGGAGTGGAACCTGATGTGGTCTTCTG